AGAGAGAATAATAAAGAAGGGTCATAGATTAGAGTGAAGATAGCAAAAAAACAAGACAAAGTACTTATATCCATCATGGACATACAGGGTTTAATTAGTTAAGGGAAAATTTTTGTTAAAAATAATTGAAGACACCTATTTACCTGTTTTAGAGTGGAGTTAAAGAAAACTAAAACCTACTTTTGAAAATATTAAGATGATGTATTTGAATAACTGTGTTTGTGAATCTGAATATTTTTACAATGCCTTTGCAATTGTTCTCATGTTTTCTAAAACTGGGATAATGTTACACAACACAGCGTCACTCCAGATGTGTTTTTAAATTAACAKTATTTTTTTTCATGTCTCATTCTTGTCTTTTCCTGAGGCCCCTCACTACAATCACCAAGTTTTTTATACTCTCTCCAAACAAGAAAACCAAAGTCCTCTTCTGCAATATGAACTCCTGCCAATTCCTCCTCAGCGTTTACTTTACAATCTGCAATAGTCAATATGCACTTCCCTTTATTCAGGCCTCAGTGTTGGAGAATAAAGAGGTCTGTTATCTTTCAAAGTGAACCATGAGAATCAATCACTGCAGTTGTCCCTGTTCTCAGCATAACTGATGCCTGCCCTACTCCCCTCACCCCACCACCCTGAAGAGCCCAGACTGATTCTCCTGGTGATCTTGTGATTTGGGGCTAAGTGTTCAGGTGTTCTCTACAGAAAGCACTGGCAGGACTCACCTTCCTGGAAACTTCTTCAACAGTGGTCCAGGTTCTTCGGAGCTTCAGTAATGCAGGAAGCAGGGCTTTTTTTTGTTGTTGTTTGTTTGCATTAGGAAAATAAACCAGCAAAGCTCTCAGAGAATGAACAGCAGGATATTGTGTTCTGAAATGCTAAAAATAAACAAATCAATAAAGTTATTTCCAGCATTTCCAAAGATAACAGAGGAAYAGCACACTGGTGAAAGTTACTAACTTGAGCAATGTTGGGTGTCTGATACTGCTCAGAGCCCRCAGAGGAGAGGAAACAGAGAGGACTCCTCCTATCAGTGCTTCTAACTTTCGGTTTCTTGAGTCAGAAAAAAACGGGAAGAGCTTCCTGTAAACACAGTGATGACCACGACAAGTTAGAGCTCAGCAGTACTGACATGTTTTTCTCAATAGATGAAACTTTCCAAGAACTTCCATAGCCAACATTTAGGAACCTCTATTCCTTGGAATGAAGTCAAATTTCAAAGGGAAAATGTGCRCCTTCTAGCCACTTACCAGGCACACTTCCCTAGTCTTTCACACAATGAGAAGAAAAGGGAAAGGCATTAATCTCATCTTCACTGCATTACACAGTGGGGAGTGTGTGAATAGATGAAAGAATTAAGTTTCCAGTTCAGCCCAGATACTACTCTCTGACCCTCACTATTATGGACAAGGTAGATTTCCCTACTATCTGTCTGCTTTATATTGCTATAAGAGAATACCACACACTGGGTAATTTGTAAAGAACAGAAGTTTGTTGCTCATAGTTCTAGAGGCTGGGGAGTCAAAGATCAAGGCCCTGGCAATTGGGATAAACATTTTGCTGCATGCTCATATGACAGAAGGACAAAAAGAGCAAATTTATTCTCACAAACCCTTTTTATGGTGACAGTAGTTAATTCATTTATGAGGGTAGAGCCCTCATGACCTAAACATGTCCAATGAGACACCACCTTCCAGCAAGATTGCATTGGGGGGGTTCAGGTTTAACAGGAGTTTTGGAGAGGACAAGGACACTTAACTGTAGAATTTACCCGTCACTGCTTTTCTATCTCAATCCTCTATGTGTTCRTTGAGAATCTTAATTATTTTTATAAATCCTTTATTCTTCTTTATTCCAGTACTACTTTTTTTTCTCTCCAGATTTTCACTAATAATATTTCTCCCTTGAATTGAGGATGAGATTTCTTACTTTTGCAAAGAGTGAACTTCCTACCTGAAACATTTTGGTTTGGGAATTCTAACTTCAAATGACAACAATCTATAAGTTACTCAGATTTATTTAACAAAAGGAGGAAAAGGAACTGGAACTTAGATTTCACAATATTATTTTGCACAATTTGGGGGTATTGGAAATATTGAGTAGAGAAAAATAATTTACACCAATGAAGAAGCAATGTTCGAATTTTCTTTTCTTTTTGGTTTTAGATGTGGGGCTTTAGAATCGGGTCCAAGGGAAGAAACTCTCATGCACTGAAATAAAGGTTACCATCTTCTCAGTTGTTTAAAATACCAGTTCATGGGTGTTAAAAGGGGAAAATTGGAATATGGAAGTATTAAGTGGTGAGAAGTTACTGAAGCAAACCCTTACTATTTTGTCCTTTCTTGTTTCCTAGCAAATGACAAACGGCTAACTGTTCCCTACACTAACGTAGAGGTCTTTTTACTCAGGTATTCTRGGTTTTGGGATAACCAATCAGCAAAGCAGAGACAAAAATACTTAGCATAGATGTATTCTTCCAGGTCTTTGTAGTATGGCAAATTATTGCTTCTTAACTCTTCTGGCATGAAGTTAAGTGTTGGGTTATTTTTGTAATTGCAGAGTATTATGACCCATCTAGATTAAAAATATACCCATATCCTAAATAAATAATGTATTAACCAGTTAAATGGTGTTGAAAATTTAATAGCAGAAACATAAAAATAAACTACAACTATCAGTTTGCTTACTCCCCACCCCACTTCCCTACATTGTACTGTTTTACCTTCTTAGAACCTTTAGCTGGTTCAGTGAAACTGCAGGAGACTAGACTATTCCCTCTGGTGATAGAAGTTTCTAAGTTCCCTATCTTGATTATATTTGATGTTACATATTTGGCATGCTGTTTTGGACTCTGAAAAGCATTCTCTACCTTTTTTTTTTTTCTTTTGAAATCATCCTACAAGTATGACAGTGATGTAACTACAATTTATTTGTTCTTTTCTGTTTTGTTTGTTTTTGTCTGTTTATCTATGCTATTTTTGGCTTGGAAAA